AAAAAAAAAACAAACAAACAAACGAAAGCAAAGAAAATGAAACAAAAATAGAAAATAAGAAACATATAAAAACTTGCAACGCGGATTAAAAAACCTAAGAAAAAGCCTAGGAACGGGAGAAATAACTATCAAATAAACGAAGAAAATAACTAAACAAAAACAACTCCCTCACATTTAAACCTTTTGTTCATCTCGAAAGAAAAAAATAGAAATAAGTCAAGAATCGAGCATGGACAACGACTTCAAACAAGAAGAGTCACAAATTGATCAACTTAACCGAGATGAATTCCAATGACAGTAGGACCATATGTTTCAACTATTAACTTGGTTAAGGTGCCTTGAACAAGTTAAGGTGCCTTGAAATCACAAACGCTCAACACATAAATGTAAATAGGAATAATACACTTTGCTTATCTAACTATCCGAAAATTTACACTTTACCTACATATTTTTTTTTTTTTCATTCTGGCTGCCTAACTTTGATTTTTGGACACTTTGCCATTGTGGTCACAGCTGCCCACACGTGGCAATAAGGCACAAAAGCCACATGTTGGTTTATGAGGCCAGCGGTGACCGAAAATGGTAACACCTGACAAGTTGCATGGTTAGTCAGAGAAAGAACGAGTAAACATTTTCCAATTGCAAGTGCATATATGTAAAATCATTTCAAAAGTAATTTTTTATTAAATCTAGGACATATATTTATAAGTCGAAAACCAATTGATTTAATAACTATAATTTCATTTTACTTTTAAGTTCTTCATCATTATTCCATATTCATCTCGCCTTGGTCAATTTATTTGTATTACATACTATGGAAAAACATATGAAATTTACTTATTAAAAATAAATGTCGAATTATATGTTGGTCACAGATAAATCTACATACACATTAATACAATACCCGAAACATCCTTTTTATGGTTGTCTAACAATTGAAGGATAAATCTATTTAGTACACAATGAGCACAAGATTACTACCATGCTTTAAATGTGATGATTAGTCATCTACTATTGTAAGTTGGAATTTCTTACTCTGACTTCTAAAAAATTTTCTAGCATGCATCTTGCATCTGTACGTTAATGTTAATGGAATACAACATACTTGTCAAATGAGCATACATCCTACGCACAAACCTTACTGGGTTACTCATTTTCTGTATAGAAACAATTATCGCCTAAAAATTTATTGAGGATCATATATTTTTAAAGCCATCAAATGATGATCTAATGACTTTATTATATGCCCAAATAAGTAATAAATGCAAAAACATAATATTAAAAAGTATCTCAATATAATATAATTCTCAATAAATTACTTGAGTATCCAATAAAATTAAAACGGTGGACATTCTACTATTAATAACACTTTCAACCGTAGATCCGCGGCCACTCATCACAGCTTGCAAGAATTCGAAATTGCCGCCACCGGTAGCTCCGGCTATCAAATTTTCGATCAATCATTGATTTTTTTCTTTTTTTTTTTCCTTCTTTCGGTGACTGTCATCCCAACAGAATTCAAAGCTCTTTTCTCCTTATCAAAAAAGATAAATAACCAGCTCGATCCCCATTTTTCCACCACTTCACAAATTGGCTCGAATCCGCATGTTGTGAACATCGACGATAAAGGGCACAGCCGAGATTGCCTCGTTTCAAGGTACGACCACCTATGATCAATCAATTGTCCTTGAGCTGGTGGCACCTCATACCCAACAGGAGTCATGCATAAGTCGGGTCCCAAAAACATATGACTATTTAATGGCAGTTCCCAAAATCTCGTTACCCGTCTCTATGCAACTCCAACCCAAGGGCCTTATGACATCACCTCTATCCATCATCCACTCCCTCATCTTTATAGCATCCTCCCATTTTCCAGCACCAGCATACGAGTTGCATGACAGCACGTAATTCCCGCCGTTATTTGGGTCCAATTCCAGAAGCTTCTCGGATGCAATCCGGGCCAAACCCAAATCACCGTGAACCATACAAGCACTCAACAATATCCTCCACACCACAACATCAGGCTCAACGGGCATGCTCTCTATGAACTCGTACGCCTTCGACAGATTAGCTGCCCGGCACAAAAGATCCACCATGCATCCATAGTGCCTCATTTCGGGTACGAGCCCGAAATCTCTCTGCATGCTCTCGAAATACTCCGAACCTCTATCCACGAGGCCTGAATGAGCACACGCCAGCAAAATCCCAACAAAAGTCCCGTGTATTGGTCTCGTCCCATCTCTCCTCATCTGCGAATACAGCCCAAGGGCCCTGTTAGAGTCTCCGTTGACCGCGAGGCCCGAGATGACCGAAGTCCACGAAATGGAGTCTTTCTCTTTCATATTGTCGAAAACGTCCAATGCTTTCTCGACCGAACCGCATTTGCAGTACATGTCAATCAAAGCATTCTCGACGTAGATATCCAATTTCACCTTTTTATTGATGATGTAATCGTGGATAGCTCGGCCCACATCGAGCCTCCCTAAGTGTGCGCAAGCCGAGAGCACGCTGGCGATTGCAACCCGGTCTGGCTCGACTCTATGCATCATCATCTCTTGGAAAAGTGTAATGGCATCATTATATTGGCTAGCCCGAGAGTACCCAATGATCATTGAAGTCCATGAGACAACGTCTCTCTCAGGCATGTCATAAAACAATTTCTTGGCCGAAACTAAATCCCCAGACCTCGCAAGCCCAATAATCATGGCATTCCACGAAACAAGATTCCTCTCGGCCATCGTGTTAAAGAATTTCCAAGCCAACTTAATCGAGCCAAGCCTCCCGCACACGTCGATCAATGTGTTCCCCAAATACACATCGACTTCTACATGATTATTCTCGATATATTCTAATATGAAATCCAGAAGTTTCCACTCGCCTAGATAATTACAAGCCAAGACGACTTTCACCAAGGTGACGGCATCAGCCCTCACGTTTACCGACATCATCATGTTAAAAAGACCCAAAACCTCCTTGTATTTAGCACACTGACTGTACGCACAGATTATTGAGTTCCAAGAAACCAAGTCCCTTTCGGTCATTTCATCAAACACCTTCCTCGAGAAACCCAATTCGCCGCAAAAGCCATACATGTGAACCAACGCGTTTTGCACATAAAGGTACGACCCAAACCCGAGTTTCAGGACACTCGTGTGAACTATTTTGCCGACTAATATGTCATTAGCCTTGGCACAAGCTTTGCACAAGAATATAAATGTGAGATTATCGCCGGGCAATCCATACGCGCGCATTTTCGCGAACATGTTAAGGGCGTGGGCCGGACAATGGCTCTGGGCAAGCCCTCGTATCATGTGGTTCCAAACGGGCAGCGTGGGACGGTCAATATCGGAAAAGGCTGAGAAGGCGTTGTGTGTAGATTTCTGAGAGAGGGCGTATGATTTGATGATTTGTGACATTATTTTCGGGTTTCTGTGTTGGTGGGTTCTGATGAAATACGCGTGGAGCTCCCTGATCGGATCACGGACGACCGGAAAGGTGAGTTCAGAGGTCTTCGGGGTGGTGAAACAGCGGGAGCTAGCTCCGGCGAGTTTCATGGGAGGACTACACGAATCAAGCGGACCACGTAGATGTTTGTACATGTATGCATCCCGTGTTGTACCTTTTTATTTCTTGTTTATTCCCCCTTTGAAATTGCTTATATATTTTCAATCCGCAACTCTTTGAGGTCGGTCTACTCGTCCTGTCCATATATTTTTCGCAATTTCTTTTAATTAAAAAATCATATTTTATATATGACTAGTACAACACCCGTGTATTAACTAAAGAATGATGCTACATAGCCACTCTCTACTACAACATGGTTTACAACCATGTGTAATAGAGACATTGAAAAATGTGCATATTGCATTTTTTAATGCCTCCAGTACACATGGTTGTAAACCATGTTGTAATGGAGGGTGGCAAAGTAGCAAAATCCTATTTTCAATCCGCAACTCTTTGAGGTCGGTCTACTCGTCCTGTCCATATATTTTTGGCAATTTTCTTTTAATTAAAAAATCATATTTCAAATATGACTAGTACGACACCCGTGTATTAACAAAAGGACGATGCTACATAGCCACCCTCCATTACAACATGATTTACAACCATGTGTAATGGAGGCATTGAAAAATGTGCATATTGCATTTTTTAATGCCTCCAGTACTCATGGTTGTAAACCATGTTGTAAAGGAGGGTGACAAAGTAGCAAAATCCTTAACAAAATATGACTAGTACAACACGTGTATTACACGGATGTTTGGTAAAGAAATTAATTTTAAATTAATGAGAACAAATATTTTAAATTTTATATACTTGTTTACAAAAAAATATATATTATCATATATTTTAGAATGACACTTGTTACTTGTGCAACTTACATATGTTATATTATAGTAATTTTTATAACTTATATTATATAACTACTTGAAATATAAAATATATTAAATAATAATAATTTATTTTTATAATTAGTATTAATAAAATAATTTTATTATTGCTAGAAAGATAAATATAATTTATTCTTTTTATATATACAATATGAATGTTACCATCAGGAGATGATTAATTTGACATACTATATATGTAAAACTGATAAAAAATACAAAAATTATTAATTTTTAATATACATTTACAGTTCAATGATTATAATAATAAATGATATTAAAATAAAATTAATACATATTTATGGATAATCCGGATCTAATTATTTTTGAATTGAAAATAAATTAAAATCTATCCAAGTCTAATAACGAAATATGTAATTTTGTCACAAAAGATCCCGAAACATGCAAACCTGTTATTTAGGCTTAATACGTTTTGAATTAATATATAGGGTGATAGGTCGGACGAATTATAATTTCATATTGTAATGTCAAAATATCTAAAGTTGGATTAATTAATGGACATAATTCGAATGGTTTTTTTAGTTATTTTATTATATTCTTTTAAGTCACATGAAAAGCAAACACGATAAAATAAAAGCAAGATTAGTTTAGAGTTAATTACTAAATAAATCTTAACCTTTTTGCGTTTGGCAATTTTATCTCCATCTTTGGGTAATTGCAATATAATCTTGACCTCAATTTACTTATTGCAAGTCCAACCTAAAACCGGTTGGACCTTCAAAAAACTGGTCGATTTGGAGGCGGTTCGAATAGATCGGAGCTCATATTTACCGGTTCACTCCAGATCTAGGAGGAGACTCATCACTGGTAGCTTACATTGACATGGAATTTTCGGCTTTATGCTTGGATATACATTAAATACGTGGAAATTGTCAAATTGCTACGTGGATGACATAAAGACCCGTGTCAATTGAGGACTCGGACACAAAATCGATCAACAAATCCCTAAAATCTATCACTCTGCACCTAAATTTGCAATAAGTAAATTGAGGTCGAGATTATATTGCAATTACTCAAACATTGAGTTAAAATTGCCAAACGCAAAAAGGTTAAAGTTTATTTAGCAATTAACCCATTAATTTATTTGTCATCTAGAAAAAAACAACTCCAACAACAAATTACAGCTGCCCAGACGCAGTCCGTGGCTGTAGCTTTAGCGAGATATTGTCGATTGTCGAGTGCATCCCTCAAATATGCGAGTAGTGAAAGAGAGCCTATGTATATGTTAATTATTTTTTTTGTCGAAACAATAAATATATTAAAAATAAAAAAAGTCAAAACGAGTACACATGAGGTGTAAACAGACACCACAAGAACCATCACAAAAGCTGGATCCACCCCCTTAAGAATTACACAGGCAATCAAAG